GATGAATTATTAAAACGTTACCTAATTGGTAAAGATAAAGCGATGTCAGTAAGTTTTGGTAACGTTTTGAATGTGTTCATTCAAATGCATCAGAACCACAGCATTTGAAAAGTTTCCAGAAAAAAAAAATGAGGCGAAGAAACCCTCAAATTAGTTTGCAACAAATCCTTTATGCTGAATTAATAAATACCAAGCCAGCTGGTAGAAAGAAAGCAATATAAGTAAGTTTTGGTAACGTTTTGAATGTGTTCATACAAACATCATCAGAGCAATATCATTCGAAACATCGACAAAACTTACGTTTCCTCCTTATAATTTGCATGTATTTACTACGAATAAACCTGACTGAAACCAATTTCTAGATCTATATAAATAATGGAATGCTGGTAACAGACACCGCTTTTAATTCGTTCGTGCAATTAAATTGTTGGCAGCAAAACTTAAAGGTATCTATCACTCAGTTGGCGCAATGTATTTCCTGTGTTCTGGAATTTCACCTGCAAATTGCTACTAAATTACAAGTCCCGAGGAAGTAATTAGCAAAATGGTTTTGTGGCTGCTCTGTCATTTAATAGAATAGTGAAACAATATATGACCGTTTTGTGTAAATTGCTCGAGTACCAACTATTATTTTTTTGCATCGGAGAGTAGGCCTGAATACTGATTAGTTAGCCGATATCTATTGACATCGTTGTAGCGTCAGATTAAGTTGCAGCTGAAAATTGACCTAATACTTCTTTTTGCAAATAATCATTTTGTAACGTAAAGGGGTCAAAAAAATGTTAAAATGTTGCCGTTGGGATAATTTTATCGTCAATTGTGGGGATATTCACATTCAAAGTTTCAAGTATCAAATTAGAAAGCGTAGTCATGTACCCTACAAAGCCACTTGTTACCCCCAATTTTAATTTTTTTTAGAAAAATTCCACCAAAGACGTTCTGTCTATGCCCGTCTATCACTTTTAACAAGTCACTGTTCTTGTTAATGGCTATATATAACAGTAGCGATATCCATATATTTATGCACTGTTTTCCATCTTCTTATCATGGACACCTTCACAATATGAAGGGAGACTAAAATAGTTTAGACTTTAGGCCACAAACGTTAGACATGATCTGCTATGTCGTCTTTTTACGTGTATCAATGCATATAATGTAATCTTCCAATTGACTACGAGACAACTCGTGGCGCCGAAGATGCATTACGAAAAGTAGGATCTGGCGCCAATAAGTGGAGCTTGGTAGACAGATTGTCAGATAGAAATCAAACAGCTGTCGGTGTAAGATGTCCAAGGAATCTAGTCATGAAATATTATTGCGATTTAAAAATGGCGATTTTATTATTCAACGTATCTTGTCGTCTTACCAAAATTTTCTCTATCTAGTTCCAGAAAATGGCTTGTGTAGGATTAACATTTGATATAAAAGAAAGTCAAATAGTTCAAAAAAACACTTGAGGAACACACGAAAAATGTTGATAATGAGATATTTTAATATTACATAATATAAGCGATTAATATATGACCAGCACAGAGAACGAAAACATGGACTGCAGCTAACTTTTTTCATAATTTTTTTCCCTTTTACATGCAAACGAGTTTTTATTTTTTCAAAAATCTCTCGATACAAGTGATTGACCAACTTGTGAAAATTGAGCTTATTCCTATTTCTTCTTAGCAGTTGTGCATTTATTTAATAGGAAAACGTAATTTGGAACCACCGTAAACTGTTATCGATTGTGAAACACGGCGGTAACCACTAGCTGAAATAATCGACGGCTGACGAAACTTTTACCTCGAATTTTGTTAGTTGCACCTGTGTATGATAATATCTCCTAATTCCCCCGAAGCTGATTTTGATTTATTGTCACTCAATCAAGCATTCGTTTTCGCATATTTCTATTTTAAAATTTAGCCGACAGGCATATTTTGTTTGTTTGCTTCTCAAACATTTATTTGAGCTTAGCCAGCGAACAGTCTGACCTCGCGTCTCGAAATACAAGTCTGTTGGTTTGGTTTAAAAATGTGGAAGGCTTGTTTTGCTTCGTTTTAGTAATATGATTAGATTTAACGTATTTCGAGTTTGTTAGGTACCAGAAGATGATTCTTAAGTTTTCGTTGTATAGGTATAAGTCGTATATATAAGTTTTGATACATATATACAAGCAGTCCAAAAAATATCGTCCGATTTTAAGGTAATAACAATTGTAATTTTAAATAAATTATATCGCATGATAAATGCCAACTACAAGCAAAAAAGGAACAAAGACAACGGAATATTTAATTGGTGTTACAATAAAAGCGGAAGACATTTTTTGGACACCCTGTATATATTTCGTTATAGCGTAAGTTGTATTTTGCTAGTATAAGTAATGCATAATACAAATTAGGTGTCTTATGCAAAAACCAGAGATTTTTTTTCCGCAAATATCTCAATGTCGACTCTAACCGTTTTGCATCTATCTGTACTCAAATTAAAAATTTCTATTATTTACTTGAATTATTTTTCGAACGTGCAGGATTAACAAAAACTCTTCTGGCAATATATCTAATATATAGGGTGTCCATAAAGTATTAAAAAATTTGCAAAGGGATTTTATCGATATCATATATGTTTTGGCCCTCAGAGGTGTATTAAATGAAGTAAAATTACTTGAATAAAAACTGATTAAAAAAACAACAAACCTGGTTAAGATAAATTGAGAACTGACTTGATAGCAGAATTGAAAATGCAAAGGGTTTTATGACAACATATAATACTTCATATATTAAAACATAATCGTTTATGGGGAGTATTTGCTGCGTTTGATGCAAACAATTCCGCACACTCCTTGCTGGCGATAATCTGGCAAGTACTAAGCCATGCATCACTCGACGAAAATTTTCTGTAAACATCCAGAGTAAGTTCGTCACATATATAATAAATTCGTCGCTCCAGAAGAGTGTGTATCAAATGGAGGTAACTAATTTTGTTCGCCTACCTTACATCAAGTTGTGTAAAGGGACTGCAACCTATGGCCAGGGGTTATATTCACCTCGCTAACACAGACAGTCCCCGAACTCGAACTAAAATAGGGAAAATCGGAATAAAAGTATGCCTTAACCCTAGCCTGGTACACACACTACAGCAGTACCATAAATTCTACTTTTTAAATTGGAGACATTCAGTGGCGCTGAGTGAAATTTAAGAGTATAATGCTTTTATAATACCATAAATTGACCTACGCTCAACACCATTTAGGTAATTACGAAAATGAGAAAGATTATTCTAAAGTGTGCAATTATGTACAATTATTCTCATTAAAATAAGCTTGATTTATTGGATGATGGCCATGAAAATCGGATTATATTGCTTTAAGCTCTGGAAAATAAATATTGATTTAAACATCAAAAGAAATATTCTTATTTATGATTACGCACACATAATGACAGGTTTTTAATAGCTGAACTATATTTCATCTATTGCATATATATATATATATGTGGCATTTTAACAGTGCTTTTTATTTTGATGCGACTACGTTAGCGCACAGACGGCTAACAAGGGAAGCAGGTAGAATGAGTATGTTGTATGTGAACCATAATATGTGGAGGATAGGATAGGATAGGATAGGATTTACATATTTATCCCGGGGGAGAAGAAAGCCGATAAGACGGCTTATCCATATGGCGAACCACGGCCTCTCGTCCGGTTACCATTCCAAGTCGGGTATGGGATTAGATTTACTGTATTGTTTGTTTTCGGAAGCATGGACTTGGTGGTGGAGGAAGCCGTAACCGACCAGCGGTTACGTGAACCACCCAACGACGGCGAGGAGTCCAGCAATCCTCTCGCACATAACCATCCCTGCATGGGATTCGAACCTGCGAACCCACGCAGAGTAGTTAGAGGTGCGGTGGCGAGCGTATTCCTAACGCTTAGCCCGTTGAGCCACACCGCCGCGCCTAAAAACGCGCCTGTGCTGTTCAGAACTGGTGCTAAGCTGTGTTTCACTGATTGGATATACATATATATATATATATATATATGGCTATTTTTGTTACCTGTGCTGGGTATTTTACTGCGGCTATGTAGGCGCACGGAGGGCTAAGTCAGCGTAATAAACAGATAGAATGAATATATTGTACATAGACTATAAAACGTGCTATTTAGAACTGATCCCAAATAGGCATGCCAATGGAAAATGATAACATTCCCGATATAGCCTATATGACAATATATGTATATAGCAATTTTATCTGTGATTGTTATTCCACTGCGGCTGCGTAGGCGCACGGAGGGCTAAGCCAGGTTATGACAGAAATAATGATTATATTGTATGTAGACTATAATAATATGTGCTGTTCAGAACTGGTGTCTATATATGTGGCAATTTTACCTTTGCTAGTCATTTTACCGCGGCTACATGGGCGCACAAAGGGCTAAGCCAGGTCCATAAGCATATAGAAGGAGACTATGATATGTGCTTTTCGGAACTGGTGTCTTAAATAGGCATGCTAACGGAAAATGGTAACATTACTGATGAAGGATTTACAATTTCCTAATGTCTAATTGCATTTGAATGAGTGAAAGCTATTCATAGATATATTCCTGAGACACAAAAGCCAATAAATATTGAATAAAGAGATACTCGAAGCGCTTCAAGATTATATTGTTACGAAAAAAAGCAATTATCGGCGGCGAAGATGTCATTTCGGGCGATCGTAGCTATACTTCGACAAGCTCTATGACGTGATGTGACGCCGTAGTGACGTGATTTTTGGATGGCATAGTCATGTAGGGGTTGTAAATAACATATGCCGATATAGCTACTCTATAATATATTAAGCTATAATAGGAGATATTTCGAGCGCTTAAAGATTATATTGTTACGGAAAAAAAACTAGAAGAGAGGAAATTTGGCAACCAAACTTTGTAGAATGGAATAACATTGATCACTCAGACTAATTATTAATAGTCCCTTAAAATCAGGGTGAATATATGAATAACAATGCACTCTATAAATTTTACAGGAACCAACTTACTTAACTTATAAATCATAAATATATTGAATTGTAAAATATGAAATAATAAATCGGCATTATGCATCCGATGCGCAAACTACTTTACCATCGAGGAGTTGACGATCACATCGGGACTTACGTTACCGATTATGTCTACTCTGGGGTTTGTTTTCTACTCTGCATACAACTAATCATACGAATATGTCGTGAAAGAAGATTGATGACGTCAGAACAACGTATGACGTCATCGTGTTGTAAAATTTCAAACTGGTTGCCATGGAACTGGCCAAAAGAAAAATCAACTGCTATTAATATGACAACTTATGCTATGATTCTGTTCGGGTTTTCTAACTTTGTGATGATGTTGCTCGGAGGCTTAACCCATCAGTTCTTGCAAACGGTGAGTTTGACTAAGTTTTATATCTTACTGGGCAAGTGAAATAGATTCGATTAAAAAAATTTGCACTATTTTTACATACTTTTTAAATTCAACCACCACGCATTAATTTCTAAACCAATTCATCTGTAAAGTAAAAAAATATTACAAAGCTGTTTCTACTGTGTTTCAAAATTTGTAAATTAATAAAAAAAAATCTAAAGTTCTACATGACGATTTCAATTTCTATAGCCAATTATGAATTCATTGGCTAAGTAGAAGAATAATACAAATCTGAGAATGTTTTATGTTTTACCCATATGTAACTTTCCATATATAATTAGGTGTGTACTTTATATACTCTTTCTACGTAACGGAATTTAATCACATTTAGCAAGTTACAGATACTGTAGAATATACAAAGAAACAATACGATATATTCCAGTGACTTTCATAGATGGGATATTTAAACATTTAGTCTCGAAACCTGAATTATTTTCATATGTCACTGATGATAATTGATGGTTCGGGGTCGACGAACAAATGCAATAGCATGACGCGTGTTTATATTGTTGTTTTCGACTTTTCTCCTTTCCGCGGGTAGTAGGAATCATAAAAAAATAGTTAGCCGAAAAACAGCCATGAACTATTACGATTGTTACAAGTGTATTTTGTATAAATAACGTAGGTTAAATGGGCTTAATGTCATTGATTGCATCAACATTGCGTCATTGGCTCTGTAAAAATGACAGCGTATTTTTTCATTTTTGTGATTGTTTCAATATGACATCATAGATTATGGGAAATAATTGTAGATTATTATTTTGCTTGAGGAACACTCATGTGATTGCATTCATGGGTTATTTGATACCAGCAAAGTTTCTTGAAACTTTTTATTTTGGTTTATTTCGCTGAGACTGAGACAGTCATTTAAATAGTAGTATGAAATGAAAAGCCGATAAAATGTTCTAGAAACTAACGTGTCATGGTAAAGCGACAGACTGATAAGAAACCCCTAGAATACAGGCATGCACGAGCCATTCAAAAAGGTGCGTGATTTTGAGTTAAAGTTGGGTTTTGAACTATCGCAACAGTTGCTCACATTTTTTTATTAGGTTGAACCATACGATGGTGACGCTAACAATCTATGGGACTGGTTGATCGTATGGAGAGTCGGCTCTTCGTTTTCAGCTATAACATGTTTAAGCCTACTGATCATGATAGAACAAATGGTAAGTCTACTTAAAGTGTAAATTCATCTTATAACACCTACACTAGCGATTTTAATTTGGGAAATGAATAACAAAATGAGTATATGAATATGATAAATCTATTTTCAGAGGAAACCAAAATAACCTGAATAACTTTATTACTTCTGCAAAAATGAGAGAAATATTATTAACACTCAACCTTCTGTCTGTGTATGATTGTACCCAAAAGTTTCCGTAATCTGAGTCGCTTTGCACAAAAGTTATGTTTTCTATCTAGAATATTACCCTTCTGTGTGGGAATGTGGCTATACTTTGGGTAAAATTACATTGAAATATCTCACACATTTACCTTTCTACATTCAAATGTCACCCGAATACGACTAGTGGTAATACAAAAATACAATGAAGAAAATGATTTGTTAATTCTCACCTCAATCTGTCTTTTTCGTGTATGTGAACCCAATAAAAAAACCATTTCAAAAATAGGTTGTAGCCCTTTTAAACTATTTCATATTTTATTTCTCTCATAGTTCACGGAAGAAGAGATTTGTCGAATACCTCGCATCATACGAATCATCTTCTACCTCATTATATCAGCAGCAGTTATATGCTTCTTTGGAATCAATTACCTCCCATTGACTGGAATGGTGGAGGATCCTTTCAGTATAAGACAGAGTTTCATTGTGACATTCGGAGGTAAATTCGAAAATTTATTTTGTCAAGGTTAGCTCATTAAAAGGAACAAATTCTGCATTTACTGAGTGAATCAGAAACGCGATTATAGGTTACATGTAACAAATTCCAAGATAGGATGCAATGTTTTATTTTTTGTAAAAGGGGATTATTTAAAAAAAACAATTCAAAATGAAAAATAAGGTGTTCATACATTAATTCCGGTCAGTGCATTTTTAAACAGGAAAGCAAAGTAAGATGTAAACAATAGTTTAGTCAATGCGAATTCCCCTATTGTTTGATCCACGAAAAAGAACAAGAATTAAAACTTCTTTGTGTGTCTATTTGATATCAAGTTGAGTCTTAATAAGTTTTGTTTTTGTTTGAGTTAGACTGGGAGGAAATCTGTTTCGTGTCAATTTCATGTTGTTATTTGGTTGGATCTGCAAAATATAACGTCTTATTTCTCTTTTTAGTTGTTGTTGTTTACGGGATATCAATGATTATCGTTGTTATTCGTCATTCATGCCATGGGTGCAGGAAGAATTCTTGCTCGAATTCGGACGACTACGATGAAAAACAATCGCCATCACACTCCTTAGAAAGCAAGAGTTTTTCGGGTAGGTACATAGTCATAACATTTTGTACTATCATTTTTGTAACTCGTATCAATGATTCGCCATGGTCTAACACGGTGCTTCTCAATATTTTTTACCATGTGAAACTCTTGATGTGCTGCTATTGAGCTCGTCACAGAACCACTATTAGCATACAGTCAAAAACACTCGTATATAGATAAAGTCGATATTGGTCACTCTTCAATGATCCGTTTGGTATTGCATTCCCCGGAACCACGGTTGTTAAACACAGATCTAGTAGTTAGATACACTCTAGCACCTACCAATTTAAAGTTCGAAGATTACGTATTCGAAACATTTTCGCCACCTTAGTAATAATGTATGTAGCAAACATTTGTATCCTTTTTTTTCTACACCTTGATATAATTCTATCTTAGACTCTCTAATATAGAGGACACTGCCTTGTAACCAATACTGGTTTACCGCCTTTTTTATCGTTTTATTTATTCATGAAAACAGAATCGATTACAGAGACTGATAATTCTGAAACTAATATTACAAATTCGATATTTTTTGAATAAAACATTATTTCAATATTGACGCTGTAACCTAACTTGTTCAGTTTTTAATTCCAATATGCAAATCGTTTTCTGATTGAAGTTTACTTTGGAATACTAACAACTCTCACCAAACCCATATAATCTATATTCATTCTAGATGGCATTTTTTGATATAATAAAACAAATTATGTTATATAACGAACACGAACATTAGAATATAATTTTTTATGCTTTAGAAAACAATTCAAAAGAAAGTAAATTTCCTTGTTGCAACGTCATATCCGGTTACGCCGAAGAGGATGACATCAGGTACAGAAGATTAGAATTAGCTGTGAAGTGCATAGCTCCATGGACTTTTGTCATTGCAGGTGAATTTCATATAAGAGCTCATTTTTGGTATCTTAATATACTTCTAAACGAATATACTCACAAAAAAAAAAATATATATATTTAATGGAGGACTTATTGTAACAGACAACCCTAGCGCTGAGTTATACACCATATGTATATATACATATAAATTATGCAACCCGTGAGTCGGATTGAATTAACTAGAACTATGCCCTATTTATTGAAAACGGTTTACGTCAAGTTTTGACAGGAATACGTACTCTGAAATATAAATACTACATACGTGATATAGTAATTTCTTCAAAATGGAGACTCAATATGACATTTATGACTTTGAATAAATTGTCAAATACGCACTTTGTGACCTTTTCAAAGTAATGAATTATAGCGTTTTGACACCAAAACAGCATTACTATTTTAAAATGTTTCATCAAATGCTAAAAAGAACTCAAATAAAATGTCAATGCATGCACATTGTGATCATTTTAAGTAATCAATAATCACCATTTCAATAGCAAACGACCATTGCTAATTTTTTAATGTTCTATCAAATGCTAAACAGGACTAGAAAAAACTGTCAAAACACGCATATTGTGACCTTTTTGAGTAATTATCATTTGCCATTTCCATAGCAACAAAGCATTGCTATTTTTAAATGATCAATCAAATAGCAAAAAAGACTTATATAGAAGAAATGCATTGCTTCACTCAGTAGTTTTTGTTCAATTTGTCACTATTGAAGAGAAAATTGCTTTTCTTGGACAATACTACGCTTGCAACTTGGTATTAGTATTTGTAGCATCAGTATTTCATAGTAGGTCCGTACATATAGTCAGATGCCAGTGTCTCTTCGCAAAGGGCCTAGTTTGAATAAAAAGGCGTGAATGAGCTTCTCATAAAATAAAAATAATCTCACCATGCAACAACAGATGTCAATACTGACTAAGTTGCTTTAGTGTTTACAATTTTGTTTGTGCATTGCAAACTTATCATATTAATTTATATTTCAGGGGCAACCAATCACTTTTTGAAATCGAAATGCGCTGATTCGGACAATGCTTATAGTGAGCTCGGATGCCCTCTACCGGATTCATTCAACCATAACGCTCTCATGCATGTAATACAAATTGTGTCAGCGTGCTTATTTTTTCTTGGAGAAAATATAGCGATTACAAGACGAAAATGTACTTATAGTACCAATATAAAAAGAACAGTAACTTCGTCTACGATATACAACGACGCAATGACGAGCTGCGAGATTTCAAGTAAACCTTCTCAGAACGAAAGTAGCAATAATAATAGGGGAGATGACGTTGTCTGCAAAACCAGCAGTGGAAATACTGAAAATAAAAACATGGCGGACACAGAATCTAAAGTAAAAGATTCAACACCAGACCCCAAGTTTCCACTTTCTCTCGATTCACGAATACCTGTGAAGGACAACAGACATAGCCTTTATGACAATCATTTCGATGTATAGGTATTGTGACTTCTATGCATACTTTGCCAAAGACGTCGACTATATTATTCTTACGTACAAATACGACGTCATAATTTGTAATTGTCAATTTATTCATGTGCATTGTGCATTTTGCTTTATAGGAAGTGAACTAAAATTTGTTTAAATTTTATTGTTATTGTGTAAAATTAAGCAGTTAATTAATAATGATAACATTGGTATAAAAATAGCATATATGTACATAACAACTAAGGTTGAAATTTTGATGATGTCATAAGCGATATGACGTCGTAAATTTTACACAATATAAAGTTTCTTAAATGCTTTGATAGTTCCAAATGTGTTTTGTTTTCTTCTTTCTGTTATATATTATTTCCTAGATACTTTTATTTAGTGCGTGCAATATTTCAAAATATTTCTATAACCAAATCCTAGAAGATTTTTTCTTCACGGAAAGGTGTTAACGTACGTACTTTTTCTTCTTGCTGTGGTACCAAATAAACAGTTTCGTTTACCTTAATTAGACCTATTATAAAATGAAATTTACGAATTAGCCTACTGCATGATTCCTATTATAAACCTTACAATAAGCGTAAGTTTCTTTTTATTCAAATTGTTCCAAGTGCTTCTTTCAATATATAAATAAAGTGGTGATATCAAAGTATGTTTTGACTTATTTATATTTTTGTGGTTTCGAAAGTTCTCAGGTGATTTTTTTCTTGGAATGGTACTTCCAGTGCTGTATGGGCGATGGACGGCCTAGCGCAGTTGTTGGTAAAGTCTACACCAGCGGTTCCTAACCGGGGTCCCGTCGCCCACCAAGGGGGCCACAGAGCAGTTGTAGAGAACCATCATGCTAAGCGCAAAACTGATTATTTTCTCTTTACAAGAAAACTCTGTTTTTCCTAGTTTCATTCATAGCCCGATGAGGTTAATTCACAGGGTGTCACCCCTTTGTTGAGCATGTATTGTGAACATAATGGGATTTAGATTCTACCATTGAAAATAACACTATTAATGCCACTGAAATGATAAACAAGGGAGCCATGAGTGCTAAAAGCTTTTGGCTATATCTAGTCTCTCCAATGCCCAAAAACAAACTAGAGGAAGAAATGCTGTTAATGAAGATTATTACAGAGGGCGATTATAAAACCGATCTAGTGTTTTTTCAGATTTTTAAAAATTTCGTTTAGATATTGAGGCGTTGAGAAACAGTCCGCCTAATATTGGTTTCACATTTTTCGTTTTTTTTTTTTTTTTTTGCTTTCAACGTAACAGACAGACCCTAATACATAAATATCAGCACAATAAACTGGCGTTACTTTTAATCTAAATCAATAAAATAAAACTCAACCCCATCAAACTAAATATTCAAAAGATATTAAAAGTTTTTTATGTATTGTGACATAATGTGATTACTTTAATGATGGGTACCGCGACAACTCCTAATTGTTGCGTCGCATCTCATTTATTCGTCTGATACACCAGTCGTTGTACAGTTGTGTTAACTTGTAGACGTTTCTTTATGGTCACTGTTGCAGTTGTACTGTTAAATTGATCTGCTGTTTTCAATGAACGGAGTTGTAAACGAGTTTTTATTCTGAGGAGATAGCAATCAAGCTACGAAACATCATTCATTTTGTATTGCCCTAATTGAGTATGTCTTTAGAGCATTCGCGAGTACTCCCGTAGTATGTGAACCAAGATGGCGGACACCGGCAAGTAGTATGTGTACCAAGTTGGGGTTAGGTCATAATTTCAGGTACAAATACTACAGGGGTCACTTTGCTAGTCTCTGAACTCGTATTAGGGCTAAAATAACGAAAATTAGGGCCTAACCCTAACCTGGTACACGTACCACGTTCCTGTGTCTGCCATCTTGGTTCACATACTACGGGAACGCCCATTCGCGTTGTTCATAAAAGTGTCCTTATCCTAGAAAACCAAATAATGCATTTTAATGCATTTTCTACCGCCTGGTTATTTCAGCTACCACACTTGCTTCTGAAGAATTTTAATTTTTCTCTCCCATATTTGAGATAGAAAGTGTCTAGACTTCACTGTTTTATGTTGATTATGCATCAATTATCATTATCGGTCTGTTAATCCGATAATTGAACAAATTGTTATTTTACCGCAGTTATGCGGATTTACAACACTTCCTTCTGTCTGTGTATACAGCGACGGCTCCAACTAGGCCCGCTTAGAAACGTTTGGGTTTTTGAAAGTTACGATTCATAAATGTTTTCATAAAATCGCATCATTGACTAACTGTGCAATTAGGTGTGAAGAGGATTCAGTAATTAACCCCGAGAGTGATTTGATTAAGTAATTCCTATTTTGTCGTTTGGATCACATTGTATCTATTGTATGTTGTTTCTATAAGATCGTGATCTTTGATGGACCGTGTTCTTATGTCACATATGAAGTATAACTATAGACTGGAAAAAATAACTTCAAAAAATTAAACAAAAGTCTGTCTGTGCATACGTTGATATCTGTAGTTTGGCCTGGTTTAAGAAAGTTTGAGACCCCAATGTTTTGCTGAAATACATTAAAAAAGTTGAAGTTGGAAATACGGTGAATTTGAAACAATTTCTACGAAATGTTTAAAATACCGTTTTGTAACGCTTTGAATCTACTTTTTATTAACTGTGTTCTCATGCCGCATTTGAGCTATTCCTACAATTTCGAAACAAGAAAAGAATTTCCAATATTCAATAACATTCTCCATTATTTGTTCAAGTTTCTTGATAATGAGCAATGGTGAATTATTTTATTCTAGTACTTCCGATACACGGTCGTTTGCAAAATCTGACCTTATATGTAATTGCTCATATTAGTTTCTAATGGTATTATGGCCGTCCGCGACGTTAAAGTTGGCCCTTCATCACGTCGGTCTCTTGTTTGAAAGAAATCACTTATATGAGTCAGTCTTTTATTTTGAAGTTTTAATCCGCAAATGAACTAAACGACGTTATTTGTTTCCCAGATAGTCTGGGAAAACTTTGCTCACCCTTTGTGTCAATAATATTAACTGTAAAGTAATAGCCGTAATGTGAACAAAACAACATGCTTCAACAAATATGTCCTATTTGCAACCAAATCGAATTTTCCTTTTTGCAAAGTACAGTATGTGACATTGAAAGATTTAATTATTCGAGGTTTATTTATTGACATGACTCAGTAACTACCATACTTACATATTGAAATAAACTTTCAGATTAAAGGAAGTCCACAAAGTTTTCATTCAACTTTTCGTAATAATGAAAAAGCAAATAAAAGTGAAAATTACCCAACATTTGTTTGTTTTGTTTCTAATTAACTATCTATATAATTAAGATACTTTTCGTGCTAGACTTACTTTGTATAATTAGTCACTTTTTTACAATTTACGTTATCTTGTTCCATCCAAAAGAAAATTTCTCAGCCGAAGGTTGATATTTTCGAAGCAAAAATCTTGAAATTTTTTTTCAAATGTACTTGGCCTAATGACAGAATATTTTACTCAAAAAGGGAAGTTTCTTTTGAGGCAAATTACAGTTTGTGTCACACTGGAATTTTTTTTTTTTTAATTAAACTTGATACATAGTTTGGTAAATGGCATAAATCTGTATCGGAAGTAAATTCAGGGCCAACGAATTCAACAATTATCAAATTTTCTCAATGATGAGAAAGCAAACAAACGAAAAATTAACACGTGTTTGTTTTGTTTTCAATTAACTGTCTGTTATTAAGATTGGTTTCGTGTTAGACTTCCTTTGTATAATTAGTCAATCAAAAAAGGTGAATTCCGTTCCGAACTTTAGCGGTGTCCCAAAATAACAAACGTGTACCAGTAAAACAACTAATGAAATTATTCAAACACAATGTGGTAAGGTGGTGTGTATATACGCACAACTAACTATATTGCTATTGCAGACTTCAATCACATTCCAAACAGAACACTTTCCAGATAGATAAACCTAAAACAGCTAATGCACGCAGTAACAGTTAATGTATATATATACCCCCGTACAGGTGATAAGTACACAGGACCTAAAAGTCACCTTCAGTCATGAACGGACACGGGTCAAAGGCCACTATATTACAGAAGTTTCATTCCAGACGTTTTTTGTTAGTGATAAAATAAAAATCATTGTGAGCATGTAGAATAAAATTTCAATTTGATGAATGAATTTATATCAAAAACTCCTATTTGTCCGTTAGGCATTAGCTTGACCTTGAAACGGATTGAAAACAACAACAAAGAGAATTAGATTCACGCGTCTTCGCATACATTTGTGTAGTTAGTTTTGAATAAATATAGTAAAACTGAATTTATATTCTCTTTATGCCGTAAAAGGACATCCAATTATTTCAAAACCTAACAAATATTGGTTGCATATATTTCCAAATGTTGTTAAATACAATCAATGCTTGGTAAATGCATTGCTCAGGAGGACAGATGATGCTGAGTAGTCACACATTTTTTAATAATATTTTCTCGAAGCAAGGTGACGAAAACTCAACCTGGAAGTAAAGCTTATGATCCATGAGCGAAGCTACGAATGGTAAAGCTCCTGACACTATAAAAAAGCGATGCTCAAATATATAGACACAAAAACTAAATTGGGGCAGTGGTCTACTTTACCTTTTACATTTCCGGTACCGTCAAAAAAATTTCTACTTTCGCACATCAAGAGGGTAAAGAGCCTTGGTCGAAATACAAGAACAACAACAACATAATAAAACGATCCGTAGGTCCATTTGATTTCCTATAATAGTGTGGTATTGCGCGCTTAAAGTAGTTTGCGCCAACACAGAAGTGAACAGTATGGTACTGTTTCTGTAATCATAGTATCATTCGCTGTCTTGAATTTTTGTGGTAGCGACTATCGAAATATTACCGGTTCATATTTCCGCCGCATAAATTGTTTATGTGAGACATGATATGATAAAAGCAAGTACTTTAATATATGATACGTAACTTTATCATTATCTACCTTATCTGAGATTAGATTGTATTTATTATCTTATAGGCCTTGAAGAAGTGCCTGGGAGTATGTCGCCAATGTAACTGAAAACAAGGGTTTATATATCGACAAGGTTCCACATAAGCGAGGAGAAACTAGCGTTTTGGTAATTGAAAAATTGTATGAGCAATTGAAGAAAGTTTTCGGGACCTCCAGAAGTATGTGCACCAAGATGGCGCACAACCTGAACATTGTATGTGTACCAGGTTAGGGTTCAGGTAGCGCCATCTTGGTGCACATACTTCGGGAGCACCAGATTTTGCTTTGAAGTTAACTACATTTTCGACCGACCATTATAAGATTTTATGTTACGAGGCCTGAACATTAAGCATCATATATTTCGAATGATATAAGAATATGTTCATACACAGAAATTAAAAAAAAATGAATTTTTTACTTATAAATCTGAAATATTTTACCTATATAAATATACGATAGTTCGCACTAACACGATCGGTAAACAAGGGTTTGCAGTGTGGTACTATATCTGTAATCATAGTATCATTCGCTGTCTTGAATTTTTGTGGTAGCGACTATCGAAATATTACCGGTTCATATTTCCGCCGCATAAATTGTTCATGTGAGATATGATATAACAAATTAGGTACTTTAATATATGATATGTAGCGCTATCATTATCTTCTTTATC